CATGGGTCAGTCGGACTGGGATCTTCACATTCTAGGGGTCCTCGCTGCTTACAGATGTAATGAGAGAGCGCCATCCAAGGGGTGCCGGAGGATAACGGGTACAGCCACCATTACGTAATCAGCATCCAATTCTGAGGGGGGATATGATCTGGGCCAGAGAGGACGGGCGGGGTTGCTGAGAGAGGTTCGGGAACTATCGAGAAGGTTCCCCGAGGGGGCGTGGCCAGAGGCGGGGCTTAGCTCCGCCAAGTAGGATATAAGGGAGATCGGGGAAGGACTCTAGGTCGGTGTGGGAAGCCTGGGTTCCGGACCGCGTCGCTGCTCATCTCCTCCTTGCCACAGGCCACGTGGCGAATCCTCCCTCAGAGCTCACCTCTGCTTCCAGCGCGCCATCAGCCAGCGGCGAGGCCGGGAAAGTGGAGTGAGGCTCATGGGAGCTCAGAGAGGGATGCCTCGTCCACGGGGTTGGAAAGAGGGAAAATACTGGAGGGGGAAGGAGCAAAGCAGTGCTGTACTACCGTTAATAAAAGAAGCACTCGAACAAGCATTGCCATGGAAGTCTTTCATTACACAGACTTGCTTTTCATGCCTCAACGGGATTCTCGCCATTCTATTTGATGTATGGAAGGGAGCCCGAACCCCCGGTGCAGGTTCAGTTGGAAATGCGCCCTCCTCAGAAGGGGTTGGTAGTGCCGAACCCCATGTCGCAAATGCTTGAGCAGCTGCGGTTGGCTCGCGAGGCCGCTAGGAGCAACTCGGCCCGCAGGCAGGCTGGGAACGAGCGGCTGCGGGGACAGGGAGGGCCGGGGGTGCCTTGGAAAGAAGTGGGCATGGGGTGGTTGCATTTCCCTCAAGTGCCCGTAGGCACATCCCCAAAACTGTACCGTCCTTGGCAAGGACCAGTCGAGGTCATTGAGGTCCGGCGGCCGCAGTGCGTGCATATTCGGTTGGGCCAGCGGCGCTGGTTCATGCATCCATTGCGGTTAAAGAGATACGTCTCGTCCGGTCCTGTTGATTCATCTTCACGTCCCTTGCGGCCAATGTCTGATGTGTTCGGCGCATCGACCGCCATGTCTGAAGAAACGGGACGTGAGGAGGATTGTTATGTACCGCCTACAGGACCGGAGAGCCTAATGGCCTCGGACGGAGCGATGAGGACTCCTGCAGCGGACCATTCATCACGCCAGAGCAGAACCGTCTCTACCCACAGGGACGATCCTGCTGCACACACACATTCGCAACGCGTCACTTTTAGTTGATTACAACGGGTTGTTCTCGCCGTGACTTTTTCCCTGTTCTTGTTATTGTTGTTGTTCTTTGTTCTTTCACGGTCACTGCTTACAGTTACGTTAGTCATGGGTCATGTTTGTATATATTGAAAGCCGGGACGGCTGCGTTTTATTCGTGGGGGGGGGGGGGGATGATGTAGAGGAGTAAAATATGTGGTGCACACTGTTAACCGAGGGCTACCGAGGGCAAGCAGGTGTGCATGTGCAACATGGGGTTGCACTAACAAACCAAATACCTAAATAAGGGGCTAAGCAGGTGCGAACCGGGTCGACCGGTTGTGCACGCTGACACCGGAGGTGTTGCCAGGGAGATAGGAGATAAGGGTTGATTAATGGATGGACAGGCACCAGCCTGGCTAGCCTTAAAGAGACACACGAGAGCTCTCGGATAATTGGCCGGAGGATAAACGGACGTGTGTGTGAGCGGAGCGAGAGAGTTGTTGCTGCGGACACGAGTGAAGACATCTCGCCACTGCTGCTCGAGCCGTCAACGGAATCTCAACCCTCACGCGTCGCCGGGCGGGTGATGGCTGATCCCCCTGCCCGGGACAGACGGGTGAGCAGGTCAGAGGGAACGTAGGTGAGGGCAGCGGTGGAGTTGTAGAAGCTGTTGTATGCTGAGACGCTGTGTGCGAAGAGACTGTGCGGAGTCGCTGTGTGCGAAGAGACTGTGCGGAGTCGCTGTGTGCGACGACGCTGTGTGCGACGACGCTGTGTGCAAGGACGCTGTGTGCGGAGTCGCTGAGAGCAGAGCTGCTGAGTGCAGGCTAAGTGAGGTACAGAAGAGATAGGAATGGGGAGAAGTTGAGTATACGTGACTGTACCGATAGTTGTAGGTGCGCCTACAACTGGTGCAAGAATAGGTGAATAAAGTGTAAGCAGGTGACCTGTTACAACGTGTCAGTCTGAGTGATTTTACAAAACACGACACGAGTAACTCATTGGCATGTTTTGTTTACGTGAAAAACCTTACTAATTGGCTGTGTCGGGTGGTGGTGGGTTTAACAACACATTTATATTTACGCGATGTAACCCAAAAGAACCTCTTATGGATAATATTGGTCGCGAACGCCTATCTGGTAAATAGACTATGTGATAAAAATGGGGTTAAATCTGTTTAGTGTTTCATTAGTACTGTAGATTCATTAGTAAACAGTCGCCTTCCCATTCATCAGGACTTCAATAACGTCTCGATTTAAAGCTTTCGTGACTGCAGGGATTCATCTTCTTGGTTCTTTCGGTAAAGTCACGTAGAAGGGAAGTAATAAAATAATAAAAATAAAACATAATAAAACAATTCTCACGACGTTTCGGCCACAACGCAAGCAGCCGTCCTCAGGTGAAAACCAGGTCCGTCGAGGCGACAGAGTCTGAATGAAACAGCACACGAGCTTGGAGCATATATATAAGCTGGGCGCATTGACAAAGGAATTTGCATATCAAAATGAATTTAGCATATTTATGGGAAATGCAGGAATGTGATTAGTACTGCATATGCATGTGCATTATGCAGGATTAACAGCATCAAAGGGAGCTGCAGTTACTGCTGCTGCAGCAGTTGCTGCTGCTGCAGTTTCTGCTGCTGCTGCAGTTGCTACTGCTGCTGCAGCTGCTGCTGCTGCTGCACTTGCTGCTGCTGCTGCTGCACTTGCTGCTGCTGCTGCACTTGCTGCTGCTGCTGCACTTGCTGCTGCTGCTGCAGTTGCTGCCTTATCCATTTTAATATAACACTATGTATTATTCTACCCACCCTAATGTGTATCATACTGCTATATGTTTACTGTACAATTACGACACCATACATTACTCTGCACACTGCACCATGCCAGTGAGTGGAACGTGGTCTGAAAGTCACCGTAAACGTGAACACAATCAGTTAAGATCGGATCTTAACTGATTGTGTTCACGTTTACGGTGACTTTCAGACCGCGTTCCACTCACTGGCATGGTGCAGTGTGCAGAGTAATGTATGGTGTCGTAATTGTACAGTAAACATATAGCAGTATGATACACATTAGGGTGGGTAGAATTATACATAGTGTTATATTAAAATGGATAAGGCAGCAACTGCAGCAGCAGCAGCAAGTGCAGCAGCAGCAAGTGCAGCAGCAGCAGCAAGTGCAGCAGCAGCAGCTGCAGCAGCAGTAGCAACTGCAGCAGCAGAAACTGCAGCAGCAGCAGCAACTCCTGCAGCAGCAGTAACTGCAGCTCCCTTTGATGCTGTTAATCCTGCATAATGCACATGCATATGCAGTACTAATCACATTCCTGCATTTCCCATAAATATGCTAAATTCATTTTGATATGCAAATTCCTTTGTCAATGCGCCCAGCTTATATATATGCTCCAAGCTCGTGTGCTGTTTCATTCAGACTCTGTCGCCTCGACGGACCTGGTTTTCACCTGAGGACGGCTGCTTGCGTTGTGGCCGAAACGTCGTGAGAATTGTTTTATTATGTTTTATTTTTATTATTTTATTACTTCCCTTCTACGTGACTTTACCGAAAGAACCAAGAAGTTCAATAACGTCCTTCGTTGTCGCTTGAAGTCACGCCGCAAATGCTTTTGGACCCAGGCGCTTGACCTTCAGCAATGTGAGTTCAACCCCGATGAAGCTTGGACAGCTGAATGAAGTTCAAAAGAACTCATAAACACCTTGTCGTAAAACATCCAACGCAGAAGATCCCCTGGGTCTGATCTTCCACGGAGCTCATGGGCCACCCTAAACCGCATACACCACGAGCCCCCCCCTCCCACACACAGCGCAGCTGCTGAAGAGCTCCGGGCCATGCTGTGCCCCCTGCTGCCACGAAACTTTCGATCGATACTCGAACATTTTCTCGTTTTGTGAACAAATTCGTTTAGATTCACATTGCTCGTAATAGCGAGTTTTCGTACAAAAAACGCTCGTGAAGGGAGATACACTTGTAGTGATCACTACCGTACCTCGGGTTCCTTCTTCATGTTTATATTTCTCATATCGATCTAGGAAAATCTGTGGCGATGCAGATAAACATTTTTGTATTGGTAAGAGGTAGGACACTGAAGGAACGAGGTGGCAGGTTTTCAGGAAACGTATCACCAAAGTGAAATAAGTAAAATAACTTTCTCTTATAATGTCCCGCGAAATACAGATGTGTGTGTGTCGCTGTTCGCACCACAGTACTGGTGTTGGTCATGAGCGGGAATCAAACTCGGGTTGCTGGGTTCATAGTGCAGCGCACTAACCACTGCCCCACTGTTCCCCACACACAGAGCACTAACACTGCCCCACCGCTCCCCACACACACACAGTGCGCTACCCACTGCACCACCACTCCCCCCACACACAGTGTGCTAACCACTTCCACACCGCTCCCTACACACAGTGTGCTAACCACTGCCCCACCGCTCCACACACACACAGTGTGCTAACCACTGCACCACCACTCCCCACACACACAGTGTGCTAACCACTTCCCCACCGCTCCCCACACACACAGTGAGCTAACCACTTCCCCACCGCTCCCCACACACACAGTGTGCTAACTACTTCCCCACCGCTCCCCACACACAGTGCACTAACCACTGTCCCACCGCTCCCCACACACACACACACAGTGCGCTAACCACTGCCCACCGCTCCCTACACTTCTCTGTTCGTCTCTTTGTTGTGCAGTCGCCGCCCTCCCTCTGCCCGGGGCCACGCAGGCGCCCAATGAGCAATGGGGGCGGCTCCACGGTGCCCACTCAGCCCCCAGCACCCCCCTCTCTCTTCAACTGTGCATGCTAAACAATTAGACACTTTCACAACTCACTCAACTAACCATTCAGTTGCATCTTCGTAAGTGTTCACCAATCACACACACATACTCAAGTGCATCAAAAAGTAGGAACGCATTTTTACACGCTCAAGTGACAGAGTGAGCGCCATCGGGAGGGATGGAGCTGCCCGTGTTCGTGGTGGACGCGTTCACAGGCGTGCCTCTGAGCGGGAACCCTGCCGCCGTGTGCCTGCTCGGCCAGGTGAGCTTGGAGGTCGCCTCTTCGGGACCGCAGTCACTCAAAGGTCGTCGTCGTCGTCCTCACCAAGTCTGACACGTTCGCCATCGTGGCGCACGCTCGTCGCCGTATGGCACAGGGGTTTGCGTGCGGCTACAGCAGAGGCAGCAGAATAATCCGAATATTTATTTAGACTGGGGGAATCCATTGAGCTATAAAGCTCTTTTTCACAGACGTCCAGTAGCACGGTTACCGTGGGCTGCGTTGTGGAGAATATAAGTAACTACATTAATAATCGGAAATGCCTCCTCCCTTACATAGCTGCCCCCCCACATACGACACACACGTGTGATATTTACACATCAGCCACACACATGGCCTCCTTTTTGCGAGTGAATCCTTTCAGCAGCTTTAATTCAAGCGAGCCTGAATCTGCCGTCGAGACACCGAGTCCAGAGTGTTTCTTGTGTTGTACCAATGCTGCTCAAATTATGCATTCCCAGGTCATGTGGCTGATGGGATGTGCAAGAAATACATTCTTGCATTCATACTCTTTGGTTCTTTCGGTAAAGTCACGTAGATAAAAAATAACGAAATTAAATCACGACGTTTCGGAGGCAACACAAGCTTCCGTCATCAGGTGGAACAGCGACAGCAAAATTACCGTAGTGATTACGTGACTTTACTGAAAGAAGCAAAGATCCTTGCAGTCACGAAAACTTCAAATCTAGATGATTGCATTGTTTATATGGGACATGTGTGCAGGAGACGTATTATATGTTTATTTATATATTTTCACCATTTGTGGTTTTCAACTCTCATTTCCTCGATTTCTTAAAAAAATTATATTCATTATTTTCACGTCTTTGCTGGCTATTAATTAGAAAAGATGCTCCTCTCTGTTGTTCCAATGGCAATCCTACTACTCACAACTTTGATGCTGGTGATGAAGTCGTCTCTCTGGCCGATGTGCTATGAAGGGCCATTGCTCTGAACTTCACCTATTTATATTTTTTATTTTAATGCCACAATGTTATTGACTGTTTATTTTTTATTTTTTTGTACATAGTGTTTTAACTGCTGCCAATGCAGACGCAGCATCACCAAATAATTATTTAGAAGGTTGGTTAATACCCTTATATATTACAATGTTTTACTTGTTCATTATCATCGCTTGTTGTTGGAAAATATGTTGAAAGATACAATTATTTAACTCGATATGAAGAATCAACCCGTGTTTGCCTGGGGACAGAATTGAGATAAATTAATTGTAGACAGAGTTGGTATCAGTGTGATGAAAAGAGTTGAGATCGCCAGACTTGTGAAAAGCGACAACAATTTTTTTAAATCACAAAGGGAGAGTTGATGGTGATCATGGAGAGTGAAATTGTCAAGTCTATTTTTGGCCTAGTCACAAACAGTGTTAGACTAGAGAACGCCAAAAGGCAAGCAGCACAAATTTTATTTAGAGAAGCATAGCGCCATTGTTTTTAATCACATTGTGCTGGTAGCCTTTTAGCATTCTCTGGTCTAACACTTTGAGACGAGGCTCTAAAGAAAGTTGTCTCTGATATGGACCAATCACTTGCGAAGACAATGCATATATTTACAGAGCATGTTTTTTGTTTGCATGTTCACCACAAGTATATGTGGTTAATACTGGTAGGAACCTCCTGGTTACACCAGCCCACAGGAGATTATTGTGTCCATCGTGCAGGGAGGGGCTGGGTGGGGAGGGGCTGGGTGGGGAGGGGCTGGGTGGGAAGGGGAGGGTGGGGAGGGGCTGGGTGGGGCTGGGAGGGGTGAGGCTGAGTGGGGAGGGGCTGGTCACCCCGTGGTGCCCTTATAAAACTCAACGTTTAACCAACTCACGCCGGCTTGTGCCCGCCCTCACAGTCGGGCATATTTGCGGAATATACCACGCCGCCGTTGACCCTGGCCATTGACAGAGCAACCCAACGTTCCTACCAGTTCCCTCCGCAGGAATGTGTTGCAGACCTGATTCCTTGCAAAAGGTTTCTGTTTGGTGTTTTAACATCTGAATACAACTGTTTTATTGCAGGAAGGGTAAAGCCTATTATTATACTAAGGGGCCGTCCATAAATGACGTCACGCAATTTTTGACCCCCCCCCCCCTAGTCACACGGCGTCACAAAAAGTCAGACCCCCCCTCAAATATGACGTCACAAAGCTCTGCCCCCCCCCAAAAAAAACATGCTTCAAATCGCTTTGAACGATTGTCATTGTAGTGCTATTTAATGTGGCGCTGCACTCTGTTATAGGAGAAAACATTTATTAAAAAGTCTAATTAATTAAGTAGAACGGGTTGTCTATATTTATTTAAAGTTGCGCATTTTGATGTGATGTCACATTTCTACCCCCCCCCCCGTCGTCACACATCGTCATAAATGTCTGCCCCCCCCCCCCCCAGGTGCGTGACGTCATTTATGGACGGCCCCTAAGACTTACTTTTATTCTGCGGGTTTTTGTCTCTTGGCCACCATGTCTCCTGCAGGATCTGGCAGAGGAGATGCATCAGAAGATTGCGGCAGAGATGAACCTGTCAGAAACGGCGTTTGTGCGCACGCTTTCTCCAATGGACGACTTCAGTTCAGGTCAGCAGCCCCAAACGTCAGTACAAGTTCAAGGTGCAGCCCTGCAGTTGCTCGCTCACGCCACTGCTGGCGGAAGGGCCTCCCACTAGAGTGAACTCTGGGGCATACTTGCTCTACTCCTCCACGCCGCCCACACCGTGTTGTAAGAGGTGGGAGTACACCCACACTGACCCCACCACGCGCAACCTGCTCCATCGGCTAACTTTGGTGAATCCGTTCATACTGCTGCTGGGTGAATCGAGGCGGGAGGGGGTGATTTAAGAAACTTGCTCCCACGTTCGACCCGAATTGAAACATTGACCTCTGGATTGCAAGTTCAGCGTGGTAACCATTAACAAGCCTCTGGCAGTTGCTTGCTTAAATCGCACCACACTTGCACATTTCCACTCAATGCGTGCTCGCGTACACCAGTGCGAGGAGTGGTTGATAGCAGGGAGGCAATCCGGGAGTCGTGCGTCTGTAGTGACTGAAGCAGCAGAACGTGAGCTCGAGAATACCGTAAGGCAATGCTGCTAGTGGGTTATTACTGTACACATCATCAATAGAGTGGTGGCGCAGTGGTTAGTGCACTGCGCTACGGACCCAGCAACCCGAGTTAGATTCCTACTCACGGCCAACATCGGTGAAGAAGAATATCCGAACCGGTGTTGGGCATCCTCGAAGTCGCCTCAGTCTCAAATGAGTACCTAGCGCTGTGTTGATGAAACATCGCCACTGGGGAGACAAAGGCAGTCGGGCGTGGTGTTGCCCACCCACCCACCCCCTCGTGTGCCATTCCAGCCTTCAGAGGTGCTTGCTAACAGCACTTTCCACAAAAGTCTGTTAAGGCTATACGAGGGATCTTTGTCGTTGTAATAATATACATTACCAGGCGAGAGAGGAGTCAATTGAATCCAGTGCAAACTCTGTATTTGAACTACATTTAAACACACTCTATGTAGAACCAAGCAAAACTCAACCTCCCGCCCCCCCAAAAAAAAATCCCACGTGTAGCTGTTAACAAACCGTTGGGGCAAGTGCTGTTAGTGAGCACCTATTAAGGCAGGCATGGCACACGATACGGTGGTTGGTCAACACCACGCCCGGCCGTCTTTGTCTCCCTCGTGGCGATGTGGCAGCGACACCACCGTCTTTTCTGCCACCCCTTCACCTCCACTTCGGTTCCTCACTGAAACAAAAATCTCTCCTCCACGATTGGCTGTCTGCAGCACCACCTCACTTTCATCATATTGTCCTCCTGGCCCAAACTTATCTCCCATTTAACAATCGCTTCCAACACGTATTGGTTGTTGGACCTCGGTCAGGCGGTAGAAAAACTATCCACGACATCAAAATCGTCGACAGCAACGAGTGGAATGCACTGGTGAAATAAAAAGCACGCTGCGTTATACTACCAGTTATGCTACCGGTTATACGACCGGATCGCCACGGGGCAAAACTACCAACGGGGAAAAGTATTGGCATAATGGGCCCATTACTTTATTTGCCCTGCAAATATTTCCCTCTTCCTGGGCAAAGTGGCAGCCCCCTGAGCTCTTAACTGAATAACAGGCCCTGTACCATGCATTGAATGTGGTGGCGAGATGTTAAATACCTCGCCTAGTATATAGGTCCTATAGGAGGTCGAGTGGGTTCGGTCCCGGCTCTCACGCGTGTATATTTGGAGTATTCATGTCTCTCTCTCCCCCTGTGGCCACGTAGATTTTTCTCCAGGTCCTCCGGTTTTCCCTGCACACTTAGAAACATGCGTTTTGAGTATCTGGCTGCTATAAATGTCCATGTGACGATAAGCCACTTTGTTGAGCGATCATTTGTCATAGCCAGGTCGCTTCTGAAAAAGAGCTACATAGCTCAGTGAGCCATACCTGGTCAAATAAAACAAATAGTTTAGTTCATAGTTTAAATGAACACAAAACAAACGATGCAAAACCACGGCAATGGTTCCAACAGCTGAAACGCTTCTGCAAGAGAATTAAAGTTAGGAAACAGTATCATCAGAAAATCAATTAGACCACAGATTAGAGGAGCCCCAACTCTCGAACCCTGTACATTCCAGGCATTGTGGAGTCTGGCGACAGCCACTGCTTACACTCTGGTGTCCATCCCCAGTCATCTCTCAGGGCTTTCTGTGAGTTTAAAGGACATGGTTCCCAGCCAATTGGCTGCAACAATCTAATGCAACCGAATTGGCGGGGTGTATGAGTTGCATGAGATGCATCTGACACCTTTTAACCGATTAACTGTTGCCAGGCCATTGTGCAGTTTGTATGTTCGTTCCAATTGGTGGAGTCATTACGGTACTAATATTCCACTGAAAACAGTTACCGCTTCCTGCATACTTTCAGAACTGGTAAATCGATTGTGATAATGGTTACCGGTTAACAGTTTACCGGCTACTGTTTAACAACCTTAGTTTTGAATGCACTCGGCATGCAACTGCAATTACAGAATACTTTGATATTGTCTGCTGGCAGAGTCACCCTTGAAAAATTAGCTTCTAAGCTCAATGGGCTTTACTCAGTGGGAAATAAACTTCTGATTTCTGAACGCGTCTCGTATTGCAATGGCACACAACATTTACCGCCCGTGGTGCGTCTCTTCTCAGCCACGCAGTTCGGTCTGCGCTGGTTCACGCCGAGCCGAGAAGTGGCGCTCTGTGGACACGCCACCCTCGCCACTGCCGCGATCCTGCATTCTCTCGGCAAGTCACAATTTGGTCTCCAACCACACGACACACACCACCCGTGCACACACGCACACCAAATTGCTCAATTGCAATTACTGTACTGTATACATAAAGCAGTCATTGCCCCCAATTAGCAAACATAACCCAGGTCTCTTATACTTTCGTATGCCTGCTGTAGGTGCAGAGCAACAACTACAATTTCACATTCAGGTGGTCAAGCCAGATAACCGTGTCAGGAGCAGCGGAGTGTATCGCTGTAATGTCTCCTTCGTATTTGTGGGCATTGCGTCATTATACGCCATGAGTTTTCTGGAATTGTCAAACCCAGGGATTTTCTGTGTAGGGTCTATGCCCTAGGTCACGATTGGTCACTTGAGTTCTCACATGGTTAAATAGGATAAACTTGAAACCTGTAATTTCAACACAGCAAGAAACATCAACACTTGTGACTTGAGTCAAAGTGGACAGGGTTAAGACTGAGCGAGACAGAGCGTTATGCAGTTTTTGCGATTTAAAAGAAAAGGGTTATCACCTGCTCGGGTTTGATCCAGACGGTCTGGGAATGGACATCTGTGTTCCAGTGGCAGGAGCTGATTCGTACTGAGATCTGGTGATGGTATTGCATTGAACTTTGTTGCAGTAGAATGCACACTTCTGATTGATCTGGGTCAGGGACCTTTCAAAGAAAAAGGAGAGCCATTTTGTTTTGTTTTTGTCTTTGACCAAAATAGTTGGAGAGCCGCATCACACGCAGAGCCACTTGTACACAAACACAGACACAGCAGCGGGTATGCAGCAGATAACAACAACACACATTCTGACTTAAACAAAATTGATTATGGAATAAACTGTGTATATTTAGTTCATTCCCCCCCTTAGTTATTCTTTAACAATACGGTTTTACAAAATGTTGTTGTCACCAAGACATTCCATAGTAACCCATTTCCTGCCATATGTAATCAGTTATCTTTACGTTAGATTATGTTGAAGATTCAAAATATTTTTTTTAAACGGCTGCCCGCAAGGTTACGGCCAAAGAGCCACCACATGCGGCTCTGGAGCCGCAGGTTGCCGACCCCTGGTCTCGACAGACTGAGGAATGTGTCCGGGTTTGGATTTTGGAATAGGTGCCGATCTGCTACCGTTGGCTCAACTCTAAACCCACCCGCTTTTGGGTGATTCTGCAATTGTGATGCGAGAAGTAGGGGAGTGGGTGTGTGCGTATGTGCGGAATGGGCTGCACGTGAGGTGCAACTTGTGATGTGAGGCTGTTTTTACACAAATTCAGCCAACGTTCCGTCAAAAAAGTTTTCCATCGATGGCCAAATATCGCAGCACGAATCAGGCTCATCTGTTAATGCAAAGACTACTTAAAGACAACTTAAAGTGCCGTACTTCCACGGTCTGTCTCGTTGATATGGCGGTGTCTTTTGCGCGTCCATTTCTGTGTTGTGGCAGGCAACACCAACGCACGGCTCGTATTCCATACGCTGAGCGGCGAGCTCGCAGCTTGGCATGAAGGGGACCACATCGCGCTGGACCTGCCGCTCAACCCCACCGAGCCGCTGCAGGTGAGGAAGACAGAGAGGAGACTTGTACCTCGAGCATTCTGTGCTGGCTGTGAGAGGCACACGATGCTCTGCCATCGCGGGTGAACCGCACACATCCAAAGGACTGTGGGGTGAAGCCAGAACACATCATGGCACCTTATCGGTGCTCAGCAGAAATATAAACTCTAATGATTGTGTTCGCCATGGCATGTATGGATTTACGAGCGGAAGAATCAATTCTAGTTGATATTCGGTGCATTGTTACGTGCCTAATGTGTGACAAAAAGGTTTTGTCTTAAAAAAATTGCGAGTGGTACTTTTAAAAAACATTTTCACCATCACTTATGCCATCAGAGTTTTCTATGGCGGGAATGTTTGATTTTTTATACACTAAATAATTATTACGTGTCTGTTTTAGGATAGAGATGAATTTAAGACACTGATTCAGGTAAGGCTTATTATTATGTCTTTGTTTCATTTGAACGTGTTGCATAAGTGTGCGTGCTTTGTTGAGCTATTTTGACAAAAGAAGCTCATGAATATATATATGTGACACGTGGTGACACCCTGGATACCCTGCAAACGAGATGTTACATATCAAGGGATTGCCATTTGCAATATCTTAATACATCGAATCTAATTTATATTTACAGAGCGCCTTCACTCAAGGCGCTTGACATAACTTACACGATGACAGAATGGAACGATGTCGTTCATAGGGGTATGCGATACAAGGATTGAGGAATGAGTGACAGCACTAGAGGGGTAACTTAGGGATCACGAAATGACGGGAAGGAGTGGAGGGGCGAGGGGAGCGGAAGAGAATGGGCAATATAAAAGAGGTAAAATTATACTGTCAGACACTTGAGTAATTGTACACCTAAAGAGCACATTCTGACCAGAACAAGGGATATGTGTTGTTGAAGATGACTATGAATAACCTGACCTTTGTCCTCGGTAAAAACATCTTGCGAATGGCAAATTGCACTAAATGGTGTATTGCCTACTTGAAAAAAACCCCCCATTAAATTATTTAATTTCTGATGATTCCACGCATAGTTGTTGAGGATTGCCCATTGCCCACAATCCCAGAAAGGTCGGAAACCATTGCCCTAGACGCTGTACCAGCGCTTCTAACCAGCGGCTGTGGCATGGATAATGTGCAGGAGAAATTACAAATGTGAAGGATTGTTACACGAGTGTGTTGTCATTGTTGCCGGGTAATTTTTGCACGTGTTCTTATCGATAGATTTAAATTGCAAGAAACTCTCACGTGAAAAAAGAATGCGGTCCTTTAGCTGCACGTGCTTCCTCTTGTGCGTTATTTCACAAACGTGATATAAGAGAGTGCTTTGTGATTGGTCAGTGTCACCATGCTGTAGAGCACCACAAACCCTGACGTGCTGCCCCCGTTGCTGGCTGGGTGCGCTGGGGGGTGTGGCGCTTGGCGTTTGTGCAGGTGGCGGTTGGAGAGATGAGCGTGCAGGACGTCCGCTATTCACCTGGCACTTGTAAACTGCTCATCCGGTTGAGCGACGTCTATACCAGGTGCGCCCAGCTGGACGGTTTTGTGTTTCACCCGTCATCACGTGACCTTCTTGTATATGGGGGGCGGTGACGTGGACCCGGGCGGTAGCGCATTCGCTGCTTGCTGCAGAGGTCTGCAGTTTGAATCTAGCCGGCCCCGGTTAATACTGCGGGTGTATTCACCTTTCAAAATACTACGTGGCGTCTGCTTCACGGTAGATATGGAAGATCCTGTGACATAATTCAAAGAGTACCGTATGTCATTTGACACCGCCGTCGTGGTTCAATTTGGCCAAATTTTAAAATGACACCGCAAATTAGTTAATTTCAGGGAACAAATAGCAATTGGCACCCCCTACTGCAAAAACCTAGGAGGACCCTCCTGTCAAAATCTCAAGGTTTTTGTCCTGGCAACAAACGTATAATAATAATAATAATGCTTCACACAGCATTATTATCCTTGTACTTTAATTAAACTACTAGCTTGTTAGCCTGTCCTAGGACGGAAGCTGTAATGTAAAAATGTAAATTAATGTTTTATTATGAGATTGTTAATTTTATTAGGAAATATAGCACGTAAAGACATTTTTCTTAACTTATTAAATGGAATGAAGGACTTTGGAAGATTTCTCGGTATACGATATTTTGTGTGAATCTCTTATCACTGTTCAAAAGGTTTCCCTGCAGTTGGCTATCCTTGATGAACACTTTGATCCGCTGAGGATATTTAGATCTAGACAACGCTTATTAGACACTCTATAGGGGCAGTGTCATCTTCAGGGTGGCCAAATCTAGCTAGCATACAGGCAAAAGAAGCATTAACATTGGTAAATGTTTTGACCAGGGACTCTTTGGTATCTTACGCAATAGGCAAAGGTAAACAATCTCTGTGGCTGTATAATTTGACAAAACCCGTAACTTCACTTTAGCACTGTTTTCAAATCACCTGAAGCTGTTAACTGACACATTTATCTTCACCGATGGACGCTTGATAGCGAAGAGTGAAGAAAGTAGAGTGCTGATACTGTTTGAAGTAACTTAGCAAATAACGAAGACCAACGGAAAGCATTAGAGTTACGAATACATTGATCAGAGTATAATTTTAAATGTAATGGCAGGGAATATTGAAAAAAAGAATGTCATCAAACACTTCACTGCATTTCACTGTCGCACTGTATTAATGGCAGTGAATGGTTCACAAAGGAAAGTCATACAACACCTCGCAGCATTTGACCACAGCATTGCATTAATGGCAGTGGTTGTTGCACGCAACTATGTCATGAAAAGCCTGACGTAACGTTACAGTAGCACTATTTAACGGACGTTCAATTACTTGCAATTCACTGCTCTGATATGTATCTTCTGCTTTCGCTCACTGGGGTTGAAAACAATTGGGATTCGATACAATGTCTGCAAAGTAGCAGAGAAATGTTTATTGTAGCATATTTTGGAAGCGTAAAGTCAACTTACCTTTTGTTGGACGTGCCGAATAAATAAAGGCACCAAATGCACTGTGATGCGGCGCAGAAGTATTTATTGCCTTCCCTTTCTATAAAGATACTGAAAATCGAAAGCGAATTTGCGTAAAAAAATTCTCATAGCCGCTCGACCTTCTTCTGCATTAGTCAAAAAATCCAGGCACACGTGAATAATAATGAGGGGGAGGGCCGCATGTGGAGTGTCGTCAAGCGCGGGACACACACGCAGCTTGTTTTGGCTCGTTATATAAGTTGCTGCGTTGATTTCTTTATTAGCTTTACTTTCCATAAAGACAGGTCAAAATTAAAGCTAATTTGCGTAAACAAATTTTTATTTCCGCTCCACGTTCTTCATGCGGAGGGACCCCACCTTTTCATGATCATCAATGAGGGGGGCTGGTCAATGTGAGTGACGTCACGTGCGTTACACACATCCATTCTTGGCTCATAGTAGTGATGAGCTATTAGTATGTTACCGGTGTCCCTAAAGTAGAAACATGAACAAGCACACTCTCATTTAGAAACAGAGAGCTGCTTCGATATCTAATGAACTCATAGACACTCTGACATGTCCCACCGATCTCAACTTATTTAAACCTGTTTAAAACCGACTTGCACATGGTTTGCAACTATTACGAGCGAGCGTACATCATTCTACATGAGCCGACGGTGTGCACTCGTTAACTATTTGTTATTTATTTTATTGGGTGTGATATTCATTGGATACATACATGCTGTATGTTATAGATTTAGCATGTTTGTATGTATGTGTTGTTATTGAGCAGAGGCCCATAACATCAAGTGGCAAGTCAAGGAGCTTGGGAAAAAGGGATGAGAGGGAATTCCAACGCCGAGCAGTGTGGTGCTTCAGTTAAAAAGAATAGACACCGTCACGGACAACGTTTTTCAACCTCAAGCAATTTCCCAAGCGAGGCGTTTTGACGAGTAGCGATGTTCACAGGCAGGATCTGGAGCGGCTGCCGATCGATCCGGGCTCACTGTTGCGCGTCGAGCGAGCCAGTGGGAGCCCCGACGTGATGGGCGTTATCGTGACGCTGCGTGGCTGCGGCGGGGATCGGATTAACTTCTACTCTCGCTACTTCGCTCCCTGGGTGGGCATCAATGAGGACCCCGTCACTGGTGAGCGAGCATGCGAGCGCACGGGACCAGGGGAGAGGGTGAGTGCTTTGTGATAAGTTATTATTATGAGATGGCTTGCTTACCCTCGCCAATTCTCAATATTTCTTTTTCAGGAGGGTCTTACCACGTTCTCTCATTAGGGTGGCGATGTTGCTACGTGTAATCCCAATTGAGTAAATTGAAAGGTAATCTTTCAGCATTGGAAGTTTGGTCAATAGCCATAATGTTTCGCTTTGGCAGGAAACCCATGCATAACAGGGGAGACAACACAAAAACACGACCCACCAAAATGCCAAAGTTGGGAATTGAACTCCGTTCCTTCTTGCTGTGAGACGCAAGTGTTACTACTGTTGCCACCCTACCACCCAAAGTTACAAAAGTTAATATCATCATATCAGCTGGCACATGGGCATGTGTAGACCAGATATGCTATATGCTGTCAAGATATGTCAAGGCCCTTTGAAGGCTTTACTTTAAATAGGAACTAGAAGCAGAGGTCACGAGCCAACAAGAGATCTTAGAAAATCTTATTGAGTACAGCGCAATGGATAAAGCATTAAGCTCAAAGAAGTCGAAGTGATTTCTGGTCATATGACCATTGAGGCATTAGTGCTCATCTCCTGTTAACAGTCGTGAGCCAGTGGTAGAAATTCCACATTCCTATGCCAGTGGCGAGTGTCTCCGTAAAATAAACGAAATGGGCCGAGTCATTCCACAAACAGACCTTCCAATTGCTTGCTCTGCCCGAGCCACCTGGCTGGTTTACGCACGAATCTGCAATTTATGAAGTGTTACTATAGCAGTTTATTTATTCCGAACCGAGCAGAGTACGAATGCACTGTTAACTTATTCTCAGGATCTGCGCACACAGTGCTGGCAAGCTATTGGTCTAAGGAGCTTGGAAAGCAAGAGCTAATGGGTGAGTCATGACACCACTGCAACAGGTTAATTTATGGTTAATAAACCTGCAGTATTAACCAGGGCGGCCTGCTGGGTTTGAACCGCAAACCTCTGCAACAAGTGGCAAATATGCTACAAACTGTGCTACATCACGGCCGGAAAATTACATAATTACGTGCACCATGTCGGTGGTTGTGAGGAGATAAAGATGCATTGCTCTTTCAATAATCGTTTGCTCACAATGCACAGCTGACTCTTGTTGTTGTTGTACGTACAGCCAGGCAGTGCTCCCCGCGTGGCGGGGAGCTGCAGCTGTCCCTGCAGCAGCAGCACGGGCGGGTGAGCGTGTCTGGGCAGAGCCGCATTGTGCTGCGCGGGTCGCTGCACCTCTGAGCCTCTGCTGCCCTGTAGATCGTACCAATTATCTTCACTCGTGCCGCTTAGTTCCACCAGCGCCGCTTAGTTCCACCAGCAAGCCACCCGTTACGATGCAACAAAATCATCTAAAAAATAAAATTTTATCACTCAATTATATTTTCACTGCCTATTTCCTAAATCTCATCCTGAACTCCATCTAATTTTTGTTCTCACCTTAAACACACTCAAGAGCTTCAAGTACAGCAATGAGAACATGTACAGGCATTGCATGTGTATTTGTGTGAATGCCCAAAAAATTACAAATGTGGTCTCGTTTAAAGCAAAATGACCTATATATTTTCACAGGACATGAGAAGACTCCAAAGTAAATGGCACACCATAATGCAATGTGATTAATTATCATCGTCACTGTCAAAATCATGATCTTAATTATCAAAAATAAATAACCAGACTTCTGAGTTGAACTACGATGAAAATCTAACAAGAGGGTCCTTGCCTCTAAACATCTGGCAGTTTACCAGCACGTCTCCAAGCAAGCCTGTCTGCTGATGAGACACTGAATGTTGAAACCAGTCAAAACTGTGCATTTGTTGAACATATGCTCCTGAAACGAAGCATTGTCAGATGGCTGTGTGGTTGACGGAATGTGTAAACAATACTTGTATTTTTTAATGGATGTGAAAAAACTAATTGTCTGTTTATCTATTTTGTTATATTCTCCACAATGATGCAATTATCTACATATATAAAATGATTCCGTTGTATATCTCTGTGTTTCCGGCACTTTGAACAAACCTTATACAAATCCACATTTTGCAAGCCATGTGTACAAATATGGTATAGATGGGCGTGAAACAAAAATGTGCTCATGTGGAGGACAAAATTCAAAACCCCGGAAATATATCATGCTTATGTGCATTACAAAATGTAATGTTTTGCTGCTGGATGTGAGGACCATCAGCCTAGCAACAGGCATCCCTAGCAACGGCACCCATAACAACGGCACCCTTAGCAACGGCACCCCTAGCAACGGCTGGCCCAGGAAGTCATGGGGGTCATCAGGGAGGACAGCCAGTGGGTCTGCGCGAGAGCCTATGGGCAGTGCGGAAGTGTGTGGATTAATGATTGGAATGATTGAATTGAGTAACAATGAGAATGAATGAGGGAAGTGTAATTTTGCTTCAAAAACGTAAAAAAAAATCTGCTTATATGTACTGTGGAATACATCAACTGCACCGTAATGTCAAGAGTGTCGCTGCTGCTCGCCGAGTTCCAAGAGAGTAGTGTCTGGTGAGTGTCTACCGAGTGGTGGTATCAGATTTGTCTGACTGCTGAGTGGTGTGGGAGTGGTGAGGTGTGTCGTTCGTGATGTTGTGCGAGTGGTGAGGTGTGGTGAGATGTGTCATGAGTGGTGTTGTGGGAGTGGTGAGGTCTCTCGTGAGTGGTGTCTGGTGAGGGTCAAATGTCAGTTGTGGTGGCTGGCAGTGGTGTCAGGTGAGCGGCGACTCGTGACACCATCAGGCGAGTAGTGTCGGGTGTCTGGTGACCGTTGAGTGGCAGAATTGGGGCCGAGACAATGGTGGAGAAACTCGGATGTGGAGTATATTTGAGGTTGACTGAGCTGATGGGGAAGATAACCTCGTCTACAAGAAGGGCTGCCCTCTCATTTTAATGTGACTTCGCATGGTGCGTTCAGGAGTATTTGGCTATTATCCATTTCCACATGATGATAAGCCACTTCGTTGAGCTATCATTTTGTGGCCAGGTCGATTCTGAAAAAAATAACCCGTAAAAACAAAGTTTTTCACTATAAATCCTTTATATGCGTGGCATCGGTTTCATTTTATTATTCATTTCTGTTTTTCTTGAGTAAGCAAACAAGCAAGTGAAGTTAATATAAAGGATTTAAAAATGAAAGATCACTTCTTGACATGCCCCGTATATTCCCGAGGGCACTAGCGTTGACCCGTTTTACCACTTTCAAGAACCTGGCGGCTTCAATTTAACTGCTCTATAAATAGTCTCCAGTGTACAGCGTGGGGGCAGGGATTTCATGCCATGTGGTTAGTCAACATTTGCGTCATCATGAAACGGGCGGCTAGAGTCCTCTCGTCCTCTGGCTTGAGATGGCTGCCACCTATGGGTCAGATGATTGTCTGCCACCATTAAGCAATTGGTATTAAAATATAAAAAAAAAATTCCCTAAACAGTGTAAAATTTTGGAGAAAAAAATTTCACGAAAATTAATTGTTACGCACGAGTCTGTGTGCAAAATGTCAGCTCGATTGGATCACGGGAAGTGGATTAAAAACGACCGAAAGATTTGCACAGTCGTAAGCAAGCAAGCAAGCACGCAAGCACACAAGCAAGCAAGTGAACTTAATATAAAGGATTTAAAAAGAGCTGTATAGCTCTGTGGGCCTTATCTGGTAGAATACAAATAGTTTTAGTGCACAGTGGGAGACCGCACTGATGGAGTTTAAGCTGTAGAAGGTCAGTGGTTTCTGATTAACTCAAATAGTGATGAGGCATGTGGCTCAATGGGAAAGTGTGTAGTAAGCTCAGGGGTATAATAATGAAGACTTATTTACCCACAAAGAGTCCAAATACATTTTCAGGAGGGTCCTTCATTGTGCATTTTCATAATTTAATGTGGACAATGTTTGAGAATATTACAATGGAAATCAATTGAAAGTGAAATGCTATAAACATGTTTTAAAACGTATTCGCAATACAATTATCACAAAGACCAGTGTCAGAAGGGTTTGACAATTGGCTGATGATTACTTTCATTAACTTAATAGTACACAGGTTGGTGTAGGAATGCCGGCCGACGTGTGGAGGGGTTATCTTCAAATCATGTCCAGGTTCACTTCAGCTGTTGCACCACCTAAAGGACAAACACACATGCATATTCACAATTTTTTTGCAATGTTTCCCAATTTTATTCCCAGCATGCTATTGACATGTAATGAGACTGAATTTATTTTAAAACGCTCAGTGAGTATTGCACCTGCGATCCTGAGAACGACTAAGCAAGAGACACACAGAACATTTGAAGTGGTCTTTTGTCTTCCAACAATAGGGGGTTTACTCTCCCATTTGAAATGCCAGTCAAACCTGATTTTATCCTCCGAGCTGCTCAAATGAGCACTGAGGTGATGCTCATCTCCATTTATAGCCCTGAGCTAATGGTGTAAATTTCTGCAATTCCATGGTAGGGGTAATTCTATTCATAGGACAACACTTGTGGACTTTCCCACAATGGTACTCATTTCATTTAATCATGGAGGTATGATGAACTGAGCAACCCCCAAACAGGATCTGAAATTGCAACCTTCCGATTGTGAGCCGCACACTCAAACCACTGAGCCACCTGGCCGGTGTTACTGCTGCAGGAGGAGGAGGAGGTAGAAATCACACCTTGCTGGCGTTCTCCAGGGCCGTGATGAGGGTGCCCAGCTCCGCGGCAGAAAGCTCCACAGTCACAGCATCACGTGAGGTGTCGCAGACCGCACGGCGCGGATCGTGCGGAGGGTCGTGACGTTGTACGTCGAGTGCCAGCGCCAGCAGCGGTGTCTGCAGTGCGGAGTGGCGGTCACTTGAGAGCGCCAGCTACACACACGGATACGCACACACACCACGGTGTTCATTCAGACTATCTCGTCAAGGAACATAAACCATCACGTGAACTCCGGTCATCCTCGCAGTAGCTTTTGGCTAGTCCTTCATCGCGCGCTTTCAGATGTGCTTCTGTGGTCCTCTGGAATGCTGTTCCTTCCGATATTTTGAAGCCACTGGAGCTATGCACTTTTAAATATATATTAAAAACTATATTTTTACTGCTTTTTGTCTTTAGTTTGTTATCTTTCTCCCGCACCTCTGATTAGCACGGTTGGCTACATATGGTGCGAAAGAAGTTCAACATACATATATCACCAGTGAAGTTACATGGGCTCGATTAGGATATTTAAACGAAAATGTTTTTTGAATCTTATTGTTCTTTAGAGGTTAAGCCAGGACCCATATGGAGAGGGTCCTTGCGTATAAACATTTGCCAGTACACAAGTGTTGGCTGACGCAAGCCAGATTTTGCTGATGACTCTGAATGTCAAAACCGGTTTTGTTTGCTTGTGCTGAACCAATGCTGCTGAAATTATTTCCTCCCAGAAGGACTTTGTGTCTGATTGGATATGAATAAAAACACTAAAACTAAAATTATATGGAGGGACAGATATGTGAAGGAGGCAAAATTATCCGCTTAGTTATTTCGTGATGTATTTGACTTCGCTCACTACGCAGAACTCACCTTGAGTTTCCAATCAAAGTCGCGGAGCTGCACACTCCCCAGTGCAAGCGATGAAAATGTCACAGCAGATCGGAGCTCATCTCGGCGCACGCCGACGCACGCCTCCACGCTGCGCGGCACGGCTGGCTGCTCCTGCAACAAGCCGAACACAGCAAACGCTCGTTACATTTGTCCTAAGTCCGCCAAGCAGAGATCGTCGTGAGACCCAAAATGCCTTGAGAGAAAACACTCCTCCGATTAGCACGATTGGCTACGTATAGTGCCAAAGACGTTATCCAACACAGTGGGCATTGTAGTGGTTGCTAGGGATTATGCCATCACTCCCACTGCACCAGCCAATCAACTGCCAAGAAGACAACCCCCATGCTACATAGCTGGCATGATGTCATCGCTTTGGTGGCTGATGTGAGTTTATTTATTATTTATCTGTTTTTAACATTATACTGTAGTTATTAATTACCTTTAGTCGATATACGAGTAGTCCTGTAAGTGCTCTCCTAACTTTATGGCACCTTGTACGGAATTCAGTCGAACTGCGCTGACGATGCAATCTGCACCATTCACCCACGTGGCCCAACCCCCAAAATCAAACCATGAATACTAATATTGGATGCGAAAAGCTATGCATTACCCTTCAGTTTCTGCATTGCCAGATGGTTTGAATGCATTACCCGTTTATACAGCCCACATACGAACCATCCGGCCAAACATCTCAGTGGTAGAGAGAGCTGCTCGCAATCAGAAGACTATGAATCAGAAAGTTGTGAGTTCATATTCACGTATCGGCGGAACACCGGTGAAGTAAAAAAAGAACACACATTTTTCGTTCTAAATTTTTTTTTTTACATGCGATTCACAACCTTGGTTAGAAAATATTGTGGGGTGGTGGTGGTGGTGCGTCAAAATCAGTTCTTGTGATGTCGAAGTCACAGTTTGTTGCCGTATAGCAGCACCCAGCCTGATGGCGATTGGCTGCTCCGTGTCCCAAGGCAGATGTGACTCCTTGTGTCCTAGACTTGGACGGACAGTTCCTCGATTCAACGGACCCAAATCATCGGTCAATGTTGACCTTCTTTAGCAAGTCTCAGTAGACTGAATAAACCTTCGAATCGCGTCAAACTTGGCGACAGGGTCAATTAAAGACTGATAAACCATATTTGCCGATTCAAATTTAGATTTTAGACTGTTTTATGAGGACCGGTGTGTTATGCTGCACCGGTGTACCGCCAATACGTCCATATACCGTTTGGGGCTTGACTTGACCCATACTTTATATCGGCGAAAGTCAACAGTGATGCTATGGAGAGACTCGCTGCCGCTGTAGAAATGTGGAATCTTCCACGACTAGCTTTGCATGGCTGCAAACAGGAGATGAGCACCAACACCTCAATGTTCACTCGAGCCGGATCACTCTGACTTGGCATGCTCATAACAGCGCAACACACAGCCACCGCTGCACGCACCTGCGGTTTGCCAGGATCGTCCTGCACGGCTTGCAGCAGGGCGCGCTGCGTTTGCTGCACCACGGAGAGCCACTCGCTCGGGCTCCACACGTGCCCATAGTCCACGTACCGCGGTGACGCCCGTCCACACAGCCCATCCGCTACTGCGTGCACAAACTGACAACACCATGCCCCATCAGCACCAGTCTCCACACACAGGAGACACTCTCCAACTCGCCACGCAGCAATGCATAACCACACACACAGTACACACCACAACTCATCACACACACAGGACATGCTCCAACTCACCACACAGCAATGCATAACCACACAGTACACACCATAACTCATCACACACACAGGACACGCTCCAACTCACCACACACAGCAATGTATAACCACACACAGTACACACCATAACTCATCACACACACAGGACATGCTCCAACTCACCACACACAACAATGTATAACCACACACAGTACACACCACAACTCACCACACAGAACAAAGATCCCTAGTATAGCCATAATGACTGTTGGGGAAAGTGTTGTTAGCGAGCAGCACCTATGAAGGGGGTGGCCTGCACCACGCCCGGCCGCCTTTGTCTCCAGAGTAGCGATGTTTGTACATCGCACGAGCTACTCGTTTGAGGCCGATTCGACCTAGAGGAGGCCCAGGACCGGTTCAGAGAATTGTCACCGGTGTCAGCCGTGAGCGCGAATCGAACTGGGGCCGCCGGGTTGTTAGTGTTGCAGGTCAACCCCTACACGACCGCTCCCCACGCCACACACACGAACCCGCCACACACAACGCAATCTCATCCTACATAGCAAATACATCAATAACCACCGCTCGCCCATAAGCTATGGTGACGTCACCGCGGCGCTTGTGCCAGGCTAGGTGCACTCTGAGACCACGTGGCAGGTCACGGGACAGACACAGGAGGTTCCCTTGGGCTGACTGAGATGCACCAGCTGTGCCCCCCCCCCTACTGTGCCAACTTGCTGTTTGATCCACCCGGCGCTGTGCTGGTTTGTCGTGCCCTCCGTTGTTGTTGAAGGGCGACTGCCTCCCAGCTGCCCAGTAGTCTCAAGTTGCACCTAGCCTGGCACTGCCCAGTAGCAGCAGCGTCCTCCACGAGCCTCCTCCTCCTCCACAGAGGCCGATCTTTAGAACGCTGGTACCAGTCATCGGCAAGTCCACTTAGCTCCACATCCTCCTGTACCACATCACTCCATCTCTTCTCCAGCCCGTGCCGCGCCCGTGTAACCCCCTCATACCCTGCCAGAGATGACTGGCAGATGCACCTCCCCACTGTGCCAACCGGCGACCAAATGTTCGCAGAAACTTGCAAGCGAGTTTACGCGGTGGTCTCACCACCTACCCATCAGCCACGGCCTCAACAATCTCCCTCAGCTACGACTCAATGTCGGATCCCCCTTCTGGGATCGAGCTGCTGCTGCTGCTGCCACCATCCCAGAATCGCACCCAGAGCCGGAAGGACGCTGGCGGACGGTGGAAAAACGCGGACGTCCACAGCAATAAACGCCTCAATCCCATCCCGAAAACGTCGCACCCTCCCCTCCTGGCTTCATGGCAGTCCTCCTCGAAGACGCCGGCCGATGCGCACGCCTCCTTCATGAATGGGACATTAAAGCCGCAAGCCGCGGTGAGGAGGTAAACCAAACTATGGACCACGAAGTAAACCGTTGTCCAGTATTGGACTGCGCTCCTTCGATGTCGGGATTGCAGAACGACACCAACGTCCCTCCTGAAGCCCCAGCAGCATCGGCATCGATCTCTACTGCACGTGTGTGTACACTGTGTATTACACACGCCGTCGAGTTCTCATGCACGTGTGTGTACACTGTGTATTACACACGCCGTCGAGTTCTCCTGCACGTGTGTGTACACTGTGTATTACACACGCCGTCGAGTTCTCCTGCACGTGTGTGTACACTGTGTATTACACACGCCATCGAGTTCTCATGCACGTGTGTGTACACTGTGTATTACACACGCCGTCGAGTTCTCCTGCACGTGTGTGTACACTGTGTATTACACACGCCGTCGAGTTCTCATGCACGTGTGTGTACACTGTGTATTACACACGCCGTCGAGTTCTCCTGCACGTGTGTGTACACTGTGTATTACACACGCCGTCGAGTTCTCCTGCACGTGTGTGTACACTGTGTATTACACACGCCGTCGAGTTCTCATGCACGTGTGTGTACACTGTGTATTACACACGCCGTCGAGTTCTCCTGCACGTGTGTGTACACTGTGTATTACACACGCCGTCGAGTTCTCCTGCACGTGTGTGTACACTGTGTATTACACACGCCGTCGAGTTCTCCTGCACGTGTGTGTACACTGTGTATTACACACGCCGTCGAGTTCTCATGCACGTGTGTGTACACTGTGTATTACACACGCCGTCGAGTTCTCATGCACGTGTGTGTACACTGTGTATTACACACGCCGTCGAGTTCTCATGCACGTGTGTGTACACTGTGTATTACACACGCCGTCGAGTTCTCATGCACGTGTGTGTACACTGTGTATTACACACGCCGTCGAGTTCTCATGCACGTGTGTGTACACTGTGTATTACACACGCCGTCGAGTTCTCCTGCACGTGTGTGTACACTGTGTATTACACACGCCGTCGAGTTCTCATGCACGTGTGTGTACACTGTGTATTACACACGCCGTCGAGTTCTCATGCACGTGTGTGTACACTGTGTATTACACACGCCGTCGAGTTCTCATGCACGTGTGTGTACACTGTGTATTACACACGCCGTCGAGTTCTCATGCACGTGTGTGTACACTGTGTATTACACACGCCGTCGAGTTCTCCTGCACGTGTGTGTACACTGTGTATTACACACGCCGTCGAGTTCTCATGCACGTGTGTGTACACTGTGTATTACACACGCCGGCCCATACGCAGTGTGCACTGGGCGTGCGGTTCAAGTTCAAGTTCATTTATTAGGTATAGCCCTGTGAGCCATTCAGCTCTTGAATCGGGTGCAACCGCAACAAACAAAAACAAAAACATGAACAAAAAAAACATCTTAAAGTGAATATGTGACAAAGTGCAAAGAGAAAATCCAAGAAAAGACAGCAAAAATATTGCAGAAAAAACACCGTACACCAACGCTGTGTGCAAAAATCCCAGTGGGATGCAAGTCAAACAACAACAACAACCACAAGACAACTTAGATTAAGGCCATCAGTCTAACTCTGTACTACAACAACACAAACATGGCTAAACCAATACACTTTTCGAAATCACCAAAATAAAGCCATGAAGGCAATGAAAAAGCAATCATAGGAACTGACGGAATTTTAACAATAAATGGCATAAACAACATGTACTACCAAAACCCTGCAGCCATAGCTGGCTGCATGAGTCACTCCACAACAGCAGGAGCATCAATCGGAGTATTGTAATTTTTCAATGCACCTTTAAGATCAGCACACTAAATCAAAACACAGGTCATACTTTGTAGCGATCATCCGGAGCGAAACATTTTATTTTAGGTCACTGAATAGCACTGGCAGCTAGGGGTGTACAACTCCTCTAAAGCAGTTTTGAGTGAAGATCTCATAGGTAGTGACTCAAGTTTCAATTTATTTGCAACAGCATTCCAGACCCTGGGGGCATCAATAGCAAAGGCCCTTCCTCCAGTATATGTACGGCAATAGGGAATATTAAGCTGGTAAATGAGTGTAGACCTTAGGTCAAATTTGTTCTTTGAAACAGAGACGAGATCCAGCAGGTAATCTGCAGATTTTTTTGCAAGTACATCATGAATAAATAAGATCTGGTGCACAAGCCGTCGAACATTCAGAGATGTTAAGTTTGACCCAATGTAGAGATCACAGTGGTGAGTCCTATATGGGCAGTTCAATGCAAATCTTAAGGCCGAGTGATACATTGAGTCAAGCTTCTTCAGTACAGTACTTGGGGCTGATTTATACACAATGTCACAGTAATCAAGTAGAGGCAGTACGGTAGCTTTAATCAATTCCAAACGGAACATAGGAGGGAAGCAGTGCTTGTGTCGATATAGAAAACCAATTTTAATTTTTGTCTTTTTCCCAATATAATCAATGTGATCTTCAAAATTCAGTTTTGAATCCAGGATGACCCCAAGATACTTATAGATCTTGACTTGCTCTATTTGATCATTATTTAAGGTATGTAATTGGGGAAAAATAACTTCCCGCTTTAGTCCTGGTGAGAAGCATAGCACCTTGGTTTTGGCAGGATTTAGGACTAGTTTAAGAGCAACTAGCTGATGTTGTAGTTTGTTGAAATCACTCTGGAGCTTAGCAATCACGTCATCCGGAGAGCGGCCAGCAGTAATTAGTACCGTGTCATCTGCAAAAAGATTTACCCTGGAATAATCCAGTTCAGTGCCCAAGTCATTTACATAAAGAGAAAACAAGAGGGGGCCGAGAATGGAACCCTGTGGAACCCCTTTTGTTATCTTAACACTGTTTGACCTCCAACCATCTGTGAATACAGTTTGGGTGCGAGAAAAGAGGTAATTTTTTAACCATTTTACTGTGTTTTCGGAAAAACCGAGGCAACTTATTTTACTAAGCAGGATGTTGTGGTCTACTGCGGTGGGTGGAGCGGTGGCGCAGTGATTAGCGCGCTGCACTGCGCTTCGAACCCGGCGATCCGAGGTCCGAGTTTCGCTCACGACGACCAATAACATTGACGGCCAATAACATTGACGGCGAATATCTGAATAAGCCGACCTCGGTTCTACCCCCGGGGTGGATTAGCCATAAATGAGCACCGAGTGTGGTGTATGCAACGTCAGCATTATAGGGAGACAAAGGCGGCCCCCGCAGCTGTCGCCACACCACCACCTCGGAGGTTCCCGCCAGCATAGGCGATGCTCGCTAGCAGCAACTTGCCCCAGAAGGCCGCGTGGACTACCCGGGGCCGCTTTGTCTGCTCCTCACCCGCTGCCGCTCCTCGTCTCGCAGCCGCTCCAGCAGCGACATCGCCTCGCGTGACGCCTCCTCACGCGCCTCGTATGACGTCACCGCGCACGCTCACACTTCCGCGTGACGTCACCGCGCACGCTCACCACTCAGCGTGACGTCTCCGCACACGCTCACCACTCCGCGTGACGTCACCGCGCACGCTCACACTTCCGTGTGACGTCACCGCGCACGCTCACCACTCCGCGTGACGTCACCGCGCACGCTCACACTTCCGCGTGACGTCACCGCGCACGCTCACACTTCCGTGTGACGTCACCGCGCACGCTCACCACTCCGCGTGACGTCACCGCGCACGCTCACCACTCCGCGTGACGTCACCGCGCACGCTCACCACTCCGCGTGACGTCACCGCGCACGCTCACCACTCCCCGTGACGTCACCGCGCACGCTCACCACTCCGCGTGACGTCACCGCGCACGCTCCGCGTGACGTCACCGCGCATGCTCACCACTCCCCGTGACGTCACCGCGCACACCGTAAACACTCACCACGTGCGTGATGTCCCCACACTCCGATTCAGACGGCTGGCTACGTACGGTGCGAAGAAGTTCAACATACATAATGTACATACAGTACCATGTCAGGCAACACGTACGTCAAGCGCATGACGTCATCGCGCCCGAGCACGCGCGTGACGTCACCACAAAACGTGACGTTCTTGTTATTGCCTGAACGTATCGTCCCTCGAATCATCTTTGTGTGAAACATCTTCCCCTTGAAAACATCTTCCCGTTTAACACATAACGTTATTCGTCTTTCATCATAATCGTTACCCCTCGGCAATATTAGTGGTCGACTATTATCGTAGTTTGTTATGGTATCGTACGAACATTGACGCGTTGTCTTGCGGAGGCCTCACCCAGACCCCCGCGCTTGCCTAGTCGCGCTGCCGTGGTAGGCCGCCCCCTCGGCCGATCTCCGCGATTACACTTTAACATTACTTGTCGATAGGTTCTGAAGCCACCACGACAACGTTGTGATGCATCCTGTAGAGGACACTGCGTCGACCGAGCAAAAAACTTCATTCGAAAAGGTAAGATGCCGTTCAGTCGTCATTCCTTGTGATAAGGCGTCCTTTGTTCAACCAGGTACGAGCACATTGAGAGATTCTCGTGATTGACCTCTGGTGCCTGCGACGGGCTCCTGTTGTTTGTGCGCAGAAGCCGTGGAACATTATGATCAAGCATCGGCAGATCGCACGGAGGGGTCGGCGATCTCAAATTGGGCTCAGGTGAGAGGGGGGGGAGGCTGTTGGGGCGGTGTCGGGTTTCCCGACTCCCCGACTCGACTCACGATCGGCTACCACATCGTTTACGAGCGCTGAATCTACTTGAGGGGCTCGCGGAGGGATAATACAGAGATATCCCCCGTTTAGACATCGTCACACTCGGCATGCAACGTTGGGTCTTTCGGTAAAGTCGCGTAGATAGGTTCAAAGAAAATAAAAAGAAACTACGACGTTTCGATCGCAAAGCAAGCGGTCGTCATCAGGCTGAAATAAACTCCCTAATTTTTTTTTAAACGAACGTTTTTTTTAAGTGCACTAAAAAGTAACAAATAATTGTTTTTCAGCCGTCACCAGCTGATCAGAATATTTTTGGACATTTGTAACTCATACATAAAACCGTGGAGCGCTCCTTTAGTATTTTATGCATAATGAGTTGCTTTAAAATTTTTGATTTTGATAAAAGTTTATTTGTGTGATACAATGTACGTCAAAATTATTGTCAATTGTTAGTAGTAGAAGGGCAAATGTTGATAATGATATCATTTAAGTTTGCCATAAAGTGTAGAACATTTGTAAGTGTTTTGAGTATAATTACTAATTTAGTATTAGCGCTTTCTACTCGTATCCGTGTTGAACTGCTTTTTTAAGAACAGTTGACTGCAAAGTGATGAAAAGTATACCTAAACCCATTATTTGTTCTCACCTTCCTATGGCAACTTCTATTCTTGGTGACAGTATATTAGTCGAAGGGAAGATGAGTACATAAATTACTTGTACATACTTGATTTGGAGCTTTCGTGACTGCAGGAATTACTCTTTGGTTCTTTCGGTAAAGTCACGTAGAGAGAAAAAATAAATTAAATAATAGCATATGACATTTCGATTACAACACAAGCAATCATCATCAGGTACAAATGAAAGAGAAAACAAAACACAGAGTCGGCTAACACGAGTCAACACCCTACGTGGTTGATTACGTTCTTCCAAAGATTGCTAAATTTGAGAGAGAGACAAAACACAGACATGGAGACACATAGACAGACACATAAGCAGAGAGAGATAACAGAGACAGAAAAAAACACACATAGGCACACAGAGAAACAACGCCTCTGTGTCGAGGCCTTAAATACTGAGAGAGGGGGGGGGTAGAGAAATTAGCATGTCAATGAGAGATTTGGAGCTTTCGTGACTGCAGGAAATACTAAAACACGAGGACAGAGAGAGAGAGAGAGAAAACACACTCAATCAAACAAACTTAGTAAAATTTGGAAATGTAATGCATGTGAAGTATGGGAATTGACGGCAGGAACTTCTTGACGGGTAACACACTTTTATTAAATCCTTTAGGTATCACAATACAACGTGTGGTCTCTCTTCTTCCTCCGACACACTCCACTAATCTCGTGTAAGCTCTAGGCCGCTGGCTACACCCGATACCCTTGACTCGTGTAGACCCTATGCCTCTGGCTACACACAATATACTCGACTCGTGTAAGCCCTATGCCTCTGGCTACACACAATATACTCGACTCGTGTAAGCCCTATGCCCTGGCTACACATAGTACATTCGGCTCGTGTAGACCTATGGCTACACCCACTACACTCGCCTCTGGGTTACACAGAGTCCCGGTCCCCTTAGGACAGCGGGGCTAGGTACCGCAGGGCTCTAGGTCTTCATCCCCGTCTTCCTTCTTCGCTGGTTACACACTGCCCTTACGCCTGTGTGCATCCCCTTTTATAGCCCCTGCTCGCGAGGGACGGAGCTGATGCGGCGTCGACGTGAGCGTCGTTCCTTAATGACCCAATCACGACGCACTCTCTCTACGATCCGCTTTCCCCAGCGCGTGTTAACATTACTCCACCAATCACACTGCGCTGCCACCTGATCACTCCCTCTCAGCGCGTCACCGCCCACAGCCAATCGGTACCCCGTAACCCACGACCCCGCGCTGACCCCTGATCCTCCACCGTCAGCGCGCGTCGCCACCTACACAGCCAATCATCACGCACTGTGCATACGATCCTTAATCCCAGCGCGTATCACCTCTACATCACCCCCTCCCACATAGCTTGCAGCCGGCCCGGCTGTTAACCTACAACACAACATAACGCAACGCAGTAATAAAGAACTCCACATCCCAGTGTGCCCCGTAACACAACAACAACAACATAACACAACCTTAAATATGAAGCAATATACAGCCCGACGAACAACACAATAAAAGCGAACACCGTAAAACGAACGCGCCAAGTGTCACTGTGACCCACGCAGTGCCGAGGCGCTCCGGCTGCCTCGACTCCGCACGTGGTAGGTTACACAAAGTAGCGCGACCTAGCGCGAGTCCGTCTGGCCGGTCCGTCGTATGGAACGGGACGTTGGCGACCGTCCGGTGTCTCCGGCAGCTCTAGACGGCACGGGTCGGGCCTGGAAGGACCGGCCCCGCCGTGAAGATCCGGCCGCCGGTGGTCGGCAGCAGTCAGTTCCGAGACACCGGGGTTTGCAGTGATGACTTGGGGCCTTGGTCGTCGTCCAGCCGAGGTCCCATGGCGCGCTGACGTGGGGCGCGGCAACCGGAGGCCACGTGGCCACGAAGGCCGCAGTTATAGCAGGTGATGACAGTAGTCGGAGATCTCGGTTGCTCCAGCTTGCGGGCCGCTCGCAGAGGCGAACGACCCCCCGACCTCCAGTCCCCCGCTTGTCCCGCGATGAACGCGTCCTCTCGTGGGCTGACGACTTGGGGCACGGTGTCAACCGGACCCGGAGTTGAGGGCACGGCAGCGTTGCAGACGACCCCCTGCTTCCGTTGAAGGACCTCGTGCGCTTGCATGCTCGTGGCGACCCGTAATGAAGAAATATCGGTGTCGTCGGCCGTGTTGATGGGGACCCCCAGGTCCTGCGCCAACTTGAGCAGCTGCTCCAAAACCATCGCATCTTGGCCCTCCTCGTCCATACGAGGGAACGCGGCGTCAGCGAGAGCGAGCAACGCCGTGCGGTAGGCGAGCACGGTCTCCGTGTCCGCCTTCCGTCTTGCGTAGAAATGATGGCGGCACGCCGAGGGAGGACCGTAGACTTTGGCCATGAGAGCCAGCGCATCCTTGAGCGTGGAGCGGTCCGACCTGCGTGCGGACGTGAAGGCCGCGAGCGCGTTGTCGTCCAGCATGGCAGGCAGTGCCCGCAGTGCCGTAGCGTCGGACCAGGCGGACATCTCTTGATGCGCCAAAAATCTGCGCTGAAATTGGCTCTAATCCCCGCCTTCCGCCTTGAATGCTGACAACGTGGGAAGGCGCTGCTGAAAGATAAAGTCGTCCTCCTCCTCGTGCTTCCTCTCTGCCCCCCCGTCGGTGTGTAAGATGGCGGCCCCAGTGGCGGGTGTGTGATGGCGGTCCGCCGCGCGCGTTGGTGACGTCAGCGGCCGCGCATGGAGAACCGCTGCCACGTGGTGATGGCCGTTCCCGCCAAAAGTTGGAGCGGATGAAATGGCGGGAATCGCCAAATCGTTTTGGCGGGAATCTGCAGGGCGACCCTGTAGCACGTCGGCCGCCGTCCCCGCTCCTCCCGACGAGCTGATCTCCGCCAAGATGGACGCGGCGGCGAGCAGCAGCTCCGCCAGACGGGAGTGTGCCTCGCGAAGCACGGTGTCAGTCCCCCGTCGCTCGACCGGCGCCGTCGGTGGATCCTGCCCCGTGGGCAGCTCTTCTTCCTCACCCCCTGATGCCCGCTGGCCCGCGTCGTCGAGGTTGTCCTCGTGGTCAATCCCGTGGGTCCGACGGTTCCTCCTTGTATCCATGCTTGGAGGACCGTTTCACTTCTGACACCAGTTGAAGTATGGGAATTGACGGCAGGAACTTCTTGACGGGTAACACACTTTTATT